ACAGCAGAAATCTTACTAATTGCATTATTGGTGAAGCAGAGGCAAACAAGTTAAAATGCCAATTTTTTTTTTTTTTTAATACAGAAATAGAAAATCATTAAGTCCTCCTACGAGTTTCAGCAGTCAAAGCAAATAGAAGGCCTCTAAGTGTTTGAGAAAGGATGCCACTGAAGTTAGTAGTGTGACAAGCTGTTGAGATTGGAACTGGTAAATGTGCAATATAAGAAATAGGAAAAGGAAATATTTAGAATCAAGAGATGCCAAAACTGCAATCAGCAAATGGAAGGCTAAAACCGATGAGAAAATCTGGATGATTTTTTTATTATTTATTTTTATTGTTTAAGCTATGCCATATAACCGTCTTGTTAGAAGAAACAATCAATAACAGCTCCTAACCGCCTCACTGCACCTCCACCCACGTCCCTCCTGACACAAGCTCAGTTGAAGAGATGTGTACAATGCTGCTGAGCAAAAGAGGTGCTGTCCCACTCCTGCCTCCAGATGGTCAGTGTCTGTGCACACAAACTCCCTTGTCAATCTGAGGTTTGGAAAATCTGGATGCTTAAAGCCAGTAGGGTTTTGTGATATCAGATACATGTCAGAGATTAGAATTTTAAGAGAGTGCGTGGGGGAACAGAAATACAGCCACCAAGACTGTGTCAAAAACTGCAACTACTAGAAGTGCCCCATTACACAGAACAGACAGTGACGTACATGAGAACAAAGTTATTGCATAAAGATGTAAGACAACCAGCTTGTGAAGGAGAACCTTCCTAAATCACCAAACCTGCTGTTGAGACTGCAGGATAGCACCACAACGGCGGGTACCGCAGAGCTACAGTGTGAGAGAGATCAGAGGGATCAGCACGCGGAGGCAATAAGCTGCAGGTGGCTGGCAGGGAAAGCAGATGAGCATCACTGCCAAACTCCGATGCACATCAGCAAAAGCCACCGAAAGCAACATGTCATTTGCTACCAGTAAGGCAGGGAGACAACAGGTGAACATACAAGAAGCAAAGCAGCTAGGACACACATACCTCTCTAAAGGACCCAAAGCAGTGGGAGGTGCTGACAGCATGAAACATTTCTGTTTAAGGATAGAGAATGCAAAAGAATTGCTTCATAAATTATTCTCTGTTCTGGAGGAGAATAGACTTGAAGGACAGGTGATGTCTCTGAAATATGCAAATAGAGCTGAGCTGGACTAGCCATTACCTTTGCACTGCCTGGAACTTCGGACTGAAAGGAATGACTCACAAGAACGAACAAGAAACAAAAGATGCACTAAAAGGTAGAAGATGACGAAGGAAGACTGCATCAAGAGGAGAATGGAGACAGGCACAGAAAAGTATAGTCCTGACCTCCTACTAACAGCTGTTCCTGGGAAAAGGAAGAAAACAACCTACGACACAAAACACAGTAAGACCCATGCCAACACAGGAAGACCTAACTGCAAAGCACCCAAAAAGGCAATTGTGATTGTTGGTTCTAGACTTCTGGGTTCAAGAGAAATACAGCAAGGAGATTCCTGCAGCTTCATGAATGTAAAGACAATGGATCTCACCTCAATATCCTTTAGGTTATCTGTTTGTTATCTATTTCCTAGCAAATAAAATTGCTGAAAATAAATGCAGTATGATCATTTCTTTCCAGGTTTTAGACAAAGCTCTAAACAGCTGAAAGAAAAGATTAGGCATGACTATCAGACAACCTGCAAGCAGCAAGGGTAAAGAAGAAACTAAAAAAAAAAAAATTGGAAAAAGCTATGGAGATGAGCCTCTACTGTCAAAAGTGGTATAGAGCTTCACAGAGCAGAGAACAGCTGTGCCACTGCCTCTCCACATTCGGTTGTCTCTTAATAAGCGCATGTACTTCAAACTCCGTGCAGGAGTAGGAAGCAGCAGGTCAGATTTTGGCTGCTACTGGTGTTCTCATTGCTTCTGAACGCAAACTCAGGGTGCTCCTACTGCATCAGAATGCTTTCACTTTTTTTTTTCCCTCCATCCAAAAACAAGCAAAGATTACTAAATTACAGCAATTACAGTCTGAGGCTGAAAATGTACTATTACAGAAACTGCAAGGTCAATATGAAAGAATGAATCAATAAAGAATCAAGAAAAAGGAATGAAGAAGTGGATCTATTTGGACTGCATAAGAAAGACTGCATTTAGTTCCATTCTATTTATTAAGAAAAATACTGACAGTCTGAAAGCTGCAGAACAGCAGCAACTCTGCTGGGGAAAAAAAATGAACCTATGAAAAAGATAAGGTGTTTTCAAGTTTTAAATTTTGTATATTTAGTACTAAAGGATCAAGACTAAAAGCCCTTTGCAAATATATGAAACAGGAGACTGAGGAGGATTTAAAGTAACACACAAGAACAATAGTTTGTCTCATCCCTTACAAGTTGAAATCTATGTAGGTAATATTGAGAAAGCTTTACAATAGTGAAGTTCATGAAGCTGCACAATGAGCAATTCCACACCCTTGTACTGTAATTACTATTTATGATTCATAATGATCTGAAAGCCAAAATTTTAACGTTTGTACCAAGCACTTTATACTGCTTTTAACCAAACACTAGGAGTATTTCATTCATGATCTACTGAATGTAAGAAAAATTCAAAGGAACCCAGCAGATGAGTGTGTAAAGGAGACACAATGACAGCGATGAAGCACCTTGTAATGTACCCACAGATCTTTTCTATAAATCCAATTTGAAATTTGAAGACTAAAATAGCTATTTTATCTCCATCCCGACACACTCATCTCCATCATTTTAAAGAGCAGAGCTCCCTCTCGTGGCTCCAGAAGGTGGCCTTGGCGGGGGGGGGGAGCATACAGAGCAGCAGAGTGAGAGGAGTCCTGATAGCACTTTGGTCATGTAAAAGTGGAATTAAAAGGAAGACATAGGAGGAATGACAGGTGACTTCTTTTAAAGAAAGCAATGTCACCTGTACTTCAGTGCTAACTTTTAAGTTACATTCTCTGCTAATGTAACTTCCTCTGCTAGGCCTTTCTGCACCTCAACATATTCCTTCAATGTAAAGCGCTCAGATCTCTTAACAGGTTTGTAGCTCAATAGGCGAGGCAAAGGAAAAGCAAAGAGACAGGACAAGAAATGTGGCACCTGCACAGTGCTGCAGGGACAGTAAACCAGATAACACCCTACAGATTTTTCTCAGTATTATAGCTCCATGCACTGAGACCACACAGAGGAAAAAAATCATTGCCTTCAAAAAGCCAAGAAATATATGCCTAGTTACATGACTGGAAGAAGCACATCTACTGAAATACTGCAAGAAAAGCACCTGAAGAATCAGAAATCACATTTCTTTGAACGACTCTGACAACTCAGCCCTGCCATCTTCACAGAAACTTCTGTTCAAGCTCCAGCATTGCTCTCCTCCTGCAAGCCCACACTTCTTCTATCAACTACTCAAAAAGGGAGGATGGAGCAATGCATGAATGAGCAACCACACCAGTGCAACAGCGTTATGCAGCACAGTCTAGTTTCTGCTGAGTCCTGGGGCAGGCTTAGGCAAGGACAGCAATGGGAAGAAACACACTCAAAAGCATTCACCCCTCACCTTAGGGGAACTGGGGAGGAGCAGTGCTGCAAACCATTCTTTGTTTGCTATATGGCTTCTTTAAAATATTTTTTAAAAATCTAACAGATTATTCCACTTTCCTAGCTGACAGCTTTGTAACCTGAAGGTCACACCTGTGACAGTATTTCCGAGGCAAGAAAGTGCAGGGAGTGGCCAAAGCTAAGCTTGTCAGCATGCACAGAAGTCTCTTTATGAACAGAAGCTCTACCCATAAAAATCCAGGAAAGTGTTGAGTGTTTTGGGTTTTTATCATTGTTTAATGAATATTCTTATGTTTCACTTTACAGTGCTAGACACTTTCTTCATTCAGGATCGTACATGAATTCTTTTTAAAATATTTTATTTCCGTACGAGAATTTTAGATTGGACAAGAATTTACACAGCGTGCAGCTAGCTTTTGCTAACTGCACTCCACAGCATATTGCTAACTGCACTGCACAGCATATAAAACTGGGCATTAAAAAGGGTTTCCTCTAAATGACAGTATTTCTTTGCTGCAAAAACAGAATCAGCGCCATGGAACATGAACTAGTGAAGAAAAAACCAATTACCCTTCAGTCCCTGAACAGCATCAGAAGACAACTGAGAATCAAATTCTTGATTCATAGGCTTGTGCTCACACAAGATTTTGCTTCCAAAGCACAGGACCAAAAAAGAATCAATTTCTTACTATGAAAAGAAATTACCATGCCTTCAGCATTTTGCTATTAGTGAAATACCTCCACTCTATCTCCAGTCAAAGGCAATACTTTTTCTAAAGAGCAATCCTCTTCAAAAATTGTATAAAAATCAGTCTATAAGCAGGGAGATATCCTTAAATATTCAATCAAGTAATAAACCTGGTAGATGAAAGCCAGATTAATTAAAATGACAGTACAGTCTCCCTATAGCACACACATACAGGACTTAAAAATACACTTGTTATGTTGGAGTACCTAATCATAATCAGATTTGGTAATTTGCTGCATCGAAACAAAAAGGAAACATTTTTAGAATTGATCATTCAGTTCATGTCACTTTCATAGAGATTACTTTGTATTGATCAACATTTAAATAGTAGTTGAAAAGAGAAAGATGAGAAAAGTACAAACAGTATCTTTACATGCTAAATACAGCATGAACCAATAAAAGCAAAATAAATTAGATCACTATAGCCAAGCCAACTCTCTGCATGCGCTCACTGTAATGAAGATAATTATGAATGAAAGAGATGGTTCTTCATGTTTCAATCATAACAAAAGGAGAGTTTTAAAAATTAATTTAGACTTTAATCTGCTCAAAATTAAGCTTGCCACGCAGCAATTAAAATCTGTGTGAAACTGAAGCATTGTCAGCTTTACAAAGACAAATGCTGGTTTGTTTTCTGAACAATATTTTCATGTTTCCTACCTGTGGATTCCAACTGGGGTCCAGTTTTTTCACTGTAGCAACATACTCCTGCATAGCTTGATGAGGGCTGAGATCTCCCAGGCCTTTCCAAGCCTCCCTAGGAGAGAGAGAGCAGAACATCAGTGAGCCACTCAGAGACAGCACAATGTGTTTTTATCGTGTCATCAGTGGAACATAGTGAACAGATTCATCTAAATACTTTTGGGGATGCAAAGCCATCTTTCATTCAGTTTGAAACCGGCAACTTTCCTCTGAAGCCATGAATGGCCACTGTCAGTGCAGCACTCTGCTGTGAAAGGATCTTTCAGGGGATCCTGATCCAGGCTGGAACATAGTTTGTGTTCAAAATGTAAAGCTGTTTGTAAAGCTGTAGCTGTTTTCACAAAGTTTTTGTTGTTCATCCAGAATTAGCCTGCATACAAGGTAAATACAGGAGTCTGGTATTTCACTCCTATATCAGAAATAGCAGCAAACATTTCCCTGTTAAACAAAGGATTTTTAAGCCAGTCCAATGGCAGACTCTCAGAATTGACATCCTCTAGGTCCACAATCTGTCAATAGACGAGATAAGATGCAACAAAAAGTAGAGCCAGAAATTGCTAGGAATTACAAGGATTTCCTCTTACCATTTCTGCTTTCCTTCAAAATCAAAGAAGCTTGGCTTGGGAGTGTTACACGTTCCAAATTTCACCTAAAGAAAAGAAATTTCCTTCTGTTAGTATAAAGCAAATGGAAAGGGACTTGCATAAGGAAATACCCTGGGTTCTGATGGTTTTAGGGTAATTTTGTTCTTATGCCAGAGGAAAGGTTTTTGAAGGAAAGACCTGACACAACTCAATCCCATCTTACCCTCATTTTAGCACTCCTGCAGTTATTAGCACCTCTGCATCCCTGTGTTTTCTTTGTGTGAGGCAAGGGAAGCAGTTTTGTTTTGCAGCTCATTTCTTTCGCATGCATTACCCAACAGGGATAACCAGCAAGTGATTTCTCACTTAATGTTATGTTTATTACCCCACCAAATGCCTCATCCTCCACCAGCATCAAGAAAAATTCGGTTGATTACGGTTTCTACAGAGATGATTATTCATTAAGGCTGAAACTTACCTGCTCCAGCACAAAGCTCAAGTAAACAAACTTTGCTTAATTATTTTCAAGGTCCTCTGGAAGGCAAGGGGACAAACTCAGAGCAAAAGAATGCCAAGCAGCTTCTGAATTTGCTCCGAGGCATCTGGCTGCATAAGAAGCACTGAGCGAGATACAAGTCAAGGCTTGAGTGACAGAGAGGAACCAGTCCACCAGAAGCAAATCAGAAATTAAAATGTGGGGGGAGAAATAAGAAACACAAAGCAGCAAGGGAATGAGCCAGAATTGGTGGACAGACACATGGGGAAAAAAAAAAAAAAAATCTTATTGCCAGCATAAAATGGACTTGGGTAGCAGTGGGATTCAGGCAGTTTTCCATAGGGTGGTGTACTGATGGGCAAATACAAAGCCCTTCCTCTCACAGCAGAGAAGTCTAACAGCCATATCTCCGCTGTAAGCTCGCCCACAAAGGGGAACACAGAGGACTGACAGAGACTACACCTGCCCAGGGCTCCAAAGGCACAACCACGTTCCTGCGATAAGGCCAGCACTGACAATTGCCTCAAGAACAGAGCAATTACCAGGCTGAGATTTGGGAAATAGAGATATTTTCTTGAAGTCAGCTCAGGAGAATGTGTAAGTGGAAGAGCCAGGGAATATGGGTCAGGACCCACCAGACCTGGCTGTTACCAGTGCCCCTTTCTCATAGAAAATAAAGCCCCTTGCATACAGGTGTCACTGGTAAAATGAATCTAACCAAAATGAAAATATCATTGTGATAGGGAATGAATTTACACAAAACATGGGTTGGTGCCTTTGGGTTTGTTTGTTTGTTTTTTTAATGAAAGTGCTATATATCCCACAGGGACGACAGATGAAAGACTCTAGAAGCCAGAGCAGAACCACCATTCCAAATGCAACAGCCTCCAGGAAATAGTTATCACAGCAAGTCCCTGTAACACAGGGCACAGCCCAGTGCAAAGAAAGCCCAGCATGGATGGGGTATTTCAAGAGACCGTGGGGAGGGGACACAGGTATGTTCTGAAGGTGGGCAAAGGCTGCTGGTTGAACATTTTGTTAGCCAAGCAAAACTAAACTGCATTCATCAAATGTTTTATGAAATATGCTCAAGTGTTCAGGCAGGTGAAGTGCTTAAATCAACTAACAATTCTTCACCTTAACGGGGTGGGGATTTTATGCTGAGGATGGAATCGTTAATCAGGCTTTAAAGAGAACATGGCCATGCTGGGAGATATTTATTAGTTACACTATGTTTTCCTTTAAAGTGTTAGAGGATATGAGTGACTGCAACTAAAATTAATTTTTTTGTACATCTGACTGTCTCCCAGTGAGCAATTCATTCAAATCAGAACATCTTAGCTGGCCTTTAAAACAACATATCACATTTCACAGAGAAATAGGAGAAAGGGCTAGCAACAGTTAAGTCCTATAAATCAGTCACAATTCACGTAGCGTAAATGTTTTCTCCTGTGCTCAGAGGTGCATTGGACCACTTGTTTTAAAAAGCAAAGCAAACACGGAAATAAAAAGCAAATTCATTATCTGTATGGAAAATGCCTGCTTGGCAGTTCTTTAGTTCAACATCTAACCTGCAAAAATTGGCCACGTTTGACAAAAAAAAAATCTGTTTTAATATTAATTTTCCACTACCATCATCAAAACACAACAGTAGTTTCCTCTTTAGAATTGGCATTCAAAGGCCGTTCTAGCATCAGGAAAGACTGTTAGTAACATTGATAGTAACACAAATCAAGGAACAGTAGTTAAATTTCATCCATCAAGAGTGGGGGGAAAAAAGTGCACTCATGCCCTGTTTGCTATTTTAACATATATTAAAAAGGCTTGCAGCAGTTTTGTTGGAAAGAAAATAAAGGTTTTGGCTTCCCTCTTTTTGCTACAAGACTCCATAACGCATTAGAAATCAAACAGTAATCTAACATGAGAGGGGACCTGAGCCCGAGAGCTGAGGAAGGGGAGTTTTAGCTAAATATGCCAGTGCAAATCCATGGCAAATACTGGGGGGGGGGTGGGGGGGAATTCTGTGAAGCCCTCCTGCTACTTCCCTGGAGGGCCTCAAAAGCTGTTTTTCTCCACAACCAGCAGAAAGACAAGAGCCCATATTAGCATTTCGAGTCAAGAGTTTCTCATCCTATGTCCACAAAATAATTACTGGTGGTCTCCCGAGGGCTGACTGGTCACTCAATGCTTAGCTCTCCTCATTTACAGTTCATCAGCTGCATTAAAAAAAAAAAAAAAAAAGACAGCCAGAATGCATTGAATACTTGCCTAGTATTGCTTCTGCACGCAGAGTCACCTGCAGACATTACACTCATGAATTGTAGAAAGATGACCCAGGCAGCTACAAATGGGAAGTGTCTGCAGACATCTCCATTTGTGGCCAAAATGGAAATTTAGAAACCTTGGATGAAGCCTTCACCCGAGAGCTGAAAGTCACAACAGAAGAGTGCTCGGATAGGCAGATGCTCAAAGACATGTTTGCGCTGCATACCATCCCCATACAACTTCAGCTGCTGGTCCAGACTGTGAGAGACCTTGAGATTCTCCTTACACATTACTCCACAACCAATCCCCCCCTGCCCCAAGCCAGTGGTGGTGGTAAAATGGCTCTTTGCTAATTTTTCAACTAATACGTTTACACAGCAGGGAGCTCCAGCCAAATATTCTTACCTGATTGTAAATCTGGTAAGGTGAATCACATTTGCAGCTCTCTATGGAGTAGTGACAAAAACAGAACTCACCTCCACA